TATTGTCGCAACCAGGTAAGAATTTTTTTTTTGAGTTATTGATTTTGCCATAATCTACAGAAATTCAGCTATCGAACAAATAAATATGTGTGATTCTAATAGATATTAATAATAATGTTAAAACTTATAAGTCATTTCATTAAAGTACATTGTTGAGAAAATTTAATTCAACCTGTTACATCCAAAAAGTAGGTATGTTATTGTACAGTTAACAGTACCTACGATTTTCTACTTGGACACTCGAAAAATCTTGGTTTATCGTAAAAATTAGTTTTTTCACATACAGTAATATAAAATCCCAGAATTTACTGATATAAAATATTAAATCTACGTCATATATATTTTTTTTTAGTTTGGGTTTCTGTATGTTATAATAAAGTGCCTTACGTTTATTTAATATAGGTAATCAGTAATAAAATCCCAGCTTAGTATAGAAACTTGTTTAATATTCTTAATAAGCCAATAATATTATAACCAACTTCTTACGATTATTACATATTAATTATACATGATCTATATTAAATGCTGCCACGGAACTCGTCCTTCGGGAGATTGAAAATAAGTTGCAAACATATCACGAGTTTCAAAAGCAGATGCCGAAGATTCACTTATATCTTCTGGAATTGTACTTAGATTACTTAGTAATCTCTGTTCATCATCATTATTGGCCGAACTCTGCCTTGTGTTGACTTCATCATCGGATGTTATATTATAACACCGCATGACATTGTGTAAAATACACGTCGCAAAGACCACAATATCAACATATTTTGGGTGTAAATGCAAATTCTTATTATAAATTCCAAATTTTTGATATAAGATGCCGAACGCGTTTTCAACTACTCTGCGAGCTCGCGATAAGCGATTATTGTATATTCTTTCCTTTTCTGAAATGCCACTTGAACGTGGATATGGTCGCAATAAATTCCTTTTTAAAGGAAACGCTTCGTCGGCTACAAAAACATGTGGCATTATTATTTCAGTACCAGGTAATGGTGTGTCAGTTGGAATATTAAATGTATTCATTTCAATCGCTCTTCCTAATCTTGACGATGCCAAAATTCCGCCATCACTATTCTTGCCATAGGCCCCTATATCGACAGCTATAAATCTGTATTTATCATCGACGACAGCCATGAGGACGATAGAGAAGTGTTTTTTATAATTAAAAAATAGCGAGCCGCTGCTAGGAGTTTGCCGTCGATGGCACCTATACAGTTTGGAAAATTCCATTTTTTATTGAAACCATCTGCGATTCTTTTCCAGTCTTCGGTAGTAGGTGTGGGCATGAACTTCCCCTTCATTGTATTTATAATCGTATTGCACACATTTTTTAATATCGACCGGATGGTACTTTCGCCTAACCGAAAGCTTGAACTCATAGTCCTAAATGAACAGCCACTAATCAAGTACCTGAAACAACCAATTTTTCTTTATATTTATATTATTTTGTTACAGCGTCAGAATGTAAGAAGATATGGCAAAACTTAAGGGAATATCATAGAAGAGCCATTAAAAAGAAAGCAACTAAAAGTGGTCAGAGTGCTAATACTAATAAAAAATGGCAATATGAAACTGAAATGTCTTTTTTATTACCACATTATAAAGAACGGTCTACAGTGACGTCAGTGGACAACACAGATGATGGTGATGATGAAAATAGCTTATCTGCTGCGGAAATTCTTGCCAATGTGACTAATAATGAAGAATCTCAAGACTCGTCAATTATCTCGGAGCGTCCTGAATCTTCGGTGTCTATGTACGATTCATCTAGATCAGTGTTTCCTGACATTCCAAAAACGACAAAACGAAAGAAATTGCAAGAAACAAGTGCATCGGCGGTTTTAATGGAATATTTATTAAAAAAAAAACGATGAAGATGAAAAGCAGAATGACGAAATGGATAAATTTTTTTTAAGTATTTCTAGCACAGTAAAAAAATTATCTACCTATAATCAAGCACTTTTAAAGTCAAGAATTTTTAATTTAGTTTCGGAAGCTGAAATACAAGAACTGCAAAATAATCGAAACTGTTACTATGATGATTTTTTGCACCAGGAACTTCTGGCTACACAACTCAAAACCTAAATGCAGGTACTACCGGTAGTAGCACCGCTAGCACCCAACAGCAAAATACAACGCCTATGGAAGAATCGAGGGTTGATGGTTCTTCTTAACACAATTAAAGTAAAATTGCTTTGCTTTGATTTATCCTTTAACTTGATATATAAATAAATACATATAAATTATAAAAAAGTTTCTTATTGCTTACCTTAATGTCACTGCCAGCTTTTCTTCCGGTGATACAGCTTCTCTAAATCGCGTGTTTCTTTTGTAGATGTCGTCCTCAATAATATTAAGTATATAATAAAACAAGTATCTCGGCATACGGAAATAGATATAGAATTTTTCTTCGTCATCTAGCAGACGTTTCCGGATATTCCAATATTCCCCTTCTGATTTCCTTTGTCGCAACAAATCATGTACCCAATATCTTCTTTTCCTGCTGTTTCGTTCATTTTCATTATCAAATATAATAGCTATAATCGCCAGTTCACTGAATGTAAAGTTCGACATTTCATAAGCAACACGACTTCTTTGGACAAAATTTAACCGAAAACTGAGGTTAGACGAGTTGTCTGTTGAATAACCCACTCGTTGGCACCGCGTTGGCCACTCCTTGAGACCGCGTTGTCCACTAGTAACCATTGGGTGGATCAACTAGTTGACTACTCATCGAGAGTGTGAGTAGAGTTGCTGCCGCGTTGGCGTGGAGTTGTTATAATGTGCGAAGACCTTTATGGGTACAAACTCGACATAATAGATGGTTTAAGTCAACTCTCAGATATTAAGATAGCATCGACACCGTCTAGTGAGAATGCTTCTTCTAAGTTAGAAAAATGACTTGGAATGCTCTGTGCATTAATATGACAAACATTAAAATATTTTTTATGAGGCAGAAAAATATTACTTAACTGATCGCGTAAGGGAAGTAAATTATCTGTAAGATCATTACCAGAGGCGTATGAGGAATCTGAACTATAAATGGAATAAAAAAGATTCATCATCAGACATTATTAACTTCTAAATAGATTTATATATAATATGTATATTAGATAATAATAAATAATAAAATATTAAATATATTAAGAGATAAAACAAAATCTAAGTATAAAATATCTACAACGCTATACGTATAAACCAGAAAATCAACTACTCCACTATCACTGCTCTATCCCATCAGTTGACTGATAAAGATAACAATTATTGTTTTCTAAAAATAACCTTAAATTAATAGAACATTAAAATACACTATTATACAAGTAAATACAGAAACAGGATATAACAAAACATCAACATTAAACTAATAAGTCCACAGTTAGTCTTTCCCAACTAAAACAAAATCAAACGTTTAATTTGTTAGTGTCTGTGTAACAAAATCATTTCTTGAAATCAATGTTAACAGGGATATAGTAAAAATTGTAAAATTTAGTTATGATATAAAATAATATAAAATAACATCCGTTTGCTAACAATATTTTGGAAACATTAAAACACACTAGGATGCAAGGTATAATACCTTTGCCTGTACTTGGCGTATCGTAATTACAACAATATTCTTTATCTTTACAAAGTAACAAAATAACAGTTTGTTTATATTTTTCTACCTACTTTATTACCAACAATATTATAATACTATTATTAGCTGCTTTATTATTATTATAAAAAGTAAATAATAAACAATATTAAACCCTTAGTAGTTTAGTTAAGTCAATGAAACTAAAAAGATAAATATAATGCAACGATAATTACTACAATACGATCATTAGAAATAATAAAAAGCTTGAATGATACCAAGTAACACAGGACTGAATAAAGTAAACTTAATTATTTTAAAGAATCGTCATTATTTTTTGGTCACAACGCGGCGTACCTTTTTTTTTCGTTGCTTGGATCCGATTGTGCCCCTTGATAGCGTGAGACCACTTCTTGTTGGCGACTACATTTAGATGTACTTGGTTGTGATACACCAGAGAGATTACCTGTGCTATCTTCGGTTTTGGGAGGTGATGTATTTGAAAGAAGAGAACACCCTGGCGAGTACTTCGTGACAAGATTATTGAAGTCTTCCTCTGAAGTTACTTTTGCCCGACTACTATCAGGCAGTTTAATATAGACTGTGCCATCAAGCGTCCACACATTCCTCATGCCAAAGTACTTCCTGGCCTGCTTGTGAATATTTTGACGCGCCTTTGTGAGGAACTCAAACAATGTGAAAGACGTACCTTTTAACTTAGCCTTAGACTTCCAAACTAATGATTTTGTATGGTGATCATGGAACTGGACGAGGACTGCTCTAACTTGATCTTTACCTTGTGAGCCCAATCTGTGACACCGTTTGATCGAGGCTCTGCTCACATCAGAAAGGCCCATTTTGCTATGTATTAAGCTTAGAACCTTATCAATTAAGCTTACTTCAGAGTCCTCGGGGATGCCATTGAATAGCAATACATTTTGCCGTTGCCGCATGTCAAGTCCATCAATTGTGTTTATACAACTTCTAACTTGCAGTTGCAGTAGACTAAACATTTGTGTGACCATATCCTTGACTGCATAAAATTCCTGACTTAGCTGCACTAACGTTGGATTGGATGGGACCAGTGCAGCCTTCAAACGATCTTCGAATTCTGCCATCTTTTGCATCCAGCTGACTTCCAGACACATTATGCCAGAAACTCACGCGACACCCTAAATATTATTATGATTACTTCAAAATGTCAGAATCTACTTTTCACTTGCTGCTACAAAAGCCACAAGATGGTTTGAGAAAAAAAGATACTTACTGGAGACAATCTATATCGCCAATGGAAATACTCGCTGTTACGTTAAGGTAAGTGTAAAAATAAAAATATTTTATTTTATATGTATTTATTTTTAGTTACTGATCACATGGGTTTCACACATCAAATTATATTTAAAAAGTATATGTAAATACTTAATTAGGCTTGAAATTCGGAAACGTACTGTGCTAAGGTGGAGTCATCTTCATGTACATTTTTGTTTTCTTTATCCTTAGAAGAATTTTGATTATTTGTAGGATTCAGAATACTCTCGGATAAAGTTTCAGTCTCTGCTGATTCTTCTTGCATACTCGTTGGGGCACTTGTAGATGTAAATGGACTTGGATGTGTAATTTCTGGTAGTTCTTCTTGCACTTGTAAATTACGTTCTGTGCTGGCAGATGGGGTACTTGTCTCAAAAATTATTTGTACATCATTTTCAACATTTTGTAATTCCGTATGTCGCTCAAACATGTTTATTTCATACGTTTGTACAATATTAAATATGTCAGTCTTAGCTAAGTTTTGATAATACGGTGTAAGATTTTTAAGAGTGGGAGCAATACCATGCAGAAACTTGTCAATAGGATGTTCCTCTACAGTGTTATTTTGATTTTTCTTTAACACATACTCCAACAAAGTAGCACCAGCAGACTTTGGTTTGTCAGTTGTTTCCTGAGCAGATGCAAGAGAACTTGAAGATGCTGCTGGTGAAAGTGATCCTGTTTGATGGGATGTATGAACGGGCGATGAAATAAAAATTATCACTTCTTCGTCCCTCAAAGCTGATGGAGACTGTGCAGAGTGTGGAGAACCACTGTTCAAATCCGTATCTAATGTACTATCTTCACTTTTAGCGCTTATATTGCTAATTGTTTCTCTTTATTGAAAACACGGCCGAAGAACTGACAACTGCTCATGATATTTATAATGTTTTTGTGATTCACATCTTTGGCCACTTCTCGTTGCTGTATGTAGTGTTATGCTTCTTACATATCATTTTACACTATTTTAAATTTATTTTTCCATTCTGTTTTTGATTTTCTGCATTCACCTCAAAACTGGATATTTTGCATCACCTTTATTTCCATAGGATCCTGTAACGTTTTTAAACCATAAGAACACAATAACAAATCATTTTCACTTCGTATTTTCACGCTATCAGCACTTTTTAAATCGGTGTCGGTGGAGTCTACCTTTTTCAATCTTTTATTTAGTTCTCCGTAACTCTGCAATTTCGGGCTTCGTGCGCGCTGTTGTGGTACTTTTTTTCCTATATCAATAATATCTCATTTTTCACTTAAATCTTGCCGTTTCTCTATTACGAGCCTGAAACCAAAATTTGACATGTTTTGACATCGTTGTTTATCTGGTTGTCATGGCAATTTTTATTCAAATTCGTTACCGGTCTGATGTTTTTACTTCAATACTTCCACAAAAATACTCTTTTCCTCTTGGCCATTTACAAAAAATTGCTTTTAATTTAAATAATTTCCCGTTCTTATCGCAAATCCGTCGTCGAGCGCGGAGCTCTCTAAAAAAGTATAAAAGCCGAACAATCGGCCAATAAAGGCAGTCTCGCTTCAGCGTTCAAACTAGAAGCATCTTCTAATGGCCATGTCCCGGGGCCGCACTGCCCCGGGATCCTGCAAGCCTCTGCCTTCACCTGAAGTCGTCGCCTAGCCACGCCTACGCCTCCACCTACTAGTGCCCGCGCCATCTTTAGCCGCTGTGCGTGCTTGCTCCAGGCGCTGCGAGCGCCTACTTCAGGCGCTGAGAGCATCTGCCAAGGCGCTGTGTGTGCCTACTCCAGACGCTGCGTGTGCCTACTCCAGGCGATGCGTGTACCTACTCCAGGCGCTGCGTGCCTATCCAGGCGCTGCGTGTGCCTACTCCAAGCGCTGCGTGTGCCTTCTCCAGACGCTGCGTGTGCCTAGATCAGGCGCCGCGCACCTACCACAGGCACAGCCTGTGCATACTCCGTGAGCGGTGAGCACCACTGCCAAGCGCGGTGTGCCACTTTGGTCTTCGGGCTCCGTTTCAGTACTCATTTATCTTTATTTTTTTTAAAAAATAATTGTAATTCACGTCACCCATCATCATCTTCATATTTTTTTTCTATATAAAACTGTAAATATCTTTTAAAATTTTAAATAAATTATTCGTTTTTGTTCTATTTTTGTTGTTTCGTTGTTGTTAGGTTAGGTTCTTTTGTTTTTAATTGTCGCTTTACGACGTGTATTCTTTATGGATTAACGGTATTGATCCCGAATATTATTCCACCGCGATTTGCACACCGTTGCTGAAAAGATAATAAAACAGTTCATTTAATATTTTTGTTTGTTACAGATTCCTGACAACAGGAAATTCATTTGAAACAATTGCGTTCAGCTATCGAATGGGGTAGACTGTGCAAGAAATTGTAACGAAATCTTGTAAATGTATAGTTGATACAATGATAAGGGAAATGCTACCTAGGCCAACAAATGAGACGTGGAAATCAATAGCGGACGACTTCAATACACTTTGGAATTTTCCAAATTACATCGGAGCTCTTGATGGAAAACATTTTAACATCCAGTCACCGCCTAACAGTGGATCACTATACTTCAACTATAAAAAAACATTCTCAGTTGTGCTTATGGCGTTAGTTGATGCCAATTATAATTTTACAATTGTCAATGTTGGTTCTTATGGAAAGAATAGTGATGAAGGAATTTTTGCTAACCTTAATCTGGGAAAAGAACTTCAAAGAAACAACTTTTCTTTGCCTGAAGCTTCATATCTACCAGGCAGTTCAACAACAGCTCTATATGTTCTTGTAGGAGATAAACTTTCCCTCTCAAAACTTATTTAATGCGACCATATCCATGGACCGATTTGAGCACCGATAAGCGAATTTTCAACTTTCGTTTATCTCGCGCAAGGAGGGTAGTGGAAAACACATTTGTACAGTTGACATCAAAATTCCGAATTTATAATAGACGCATTCAAGCTTTACCAAAAAATGTTGATAATATTATAATTTCTACGTGTATTCATCATAATTTTATAAAAAAATATGACAAAGGAACAAATTTGTTTGCAGAAATTGCAAGCACAAACGAAAATCTCTCTAAATCGTCGTATGCTGCACATACGACAATTTACCAGCTGTCGGCTTAAATGCTTCAAGAGAGGCTTTTCATGTAAGGGATACGTTCAAATCTTATTTTGTTTCTCCGGCTGGCGCAGTGCCTTGGCAAAACAATGGAATTTAAGTTGTTGTACCTCAATAAAAGTGGAAAAAAATCAACTATTTCATACAAAGTGGTAAATAACGTATCAAAATGTATGAAATAGCTGTTTTTTTTTCGCGTTTTGACAAGAGTCCCCAAAGTAAAAGTTATTCATTTTGATGAGTACTACCCACCATTTTCGTTCAAACCATCCCGTATTTAAAATATTCATAAACAACCTGTATATCAGCTATAAAGGCTTAATAAACAATAAGAACCTACATAAATATCTACAGAATACAAAACATATAATAAAAATGCTTAAAACCTACCTTTACACTTTAATTCTTTTCCTATATTATCCCATATGATATTTTTCTTCTTAGAATTCAAATAATGTGGATTAGAAAGATCTTAAAGTATATTATTCTGTCGTACAAGTTCTATCAACCTTTCTGTGTTCATGTTCCACTTGCAGATAAATCGTCAACTTTAACAAAATCGGTTAGCACTGTCAGAGCGTCCGTGCGACCGAGTGTGCTCCGTGACACTGACTCCTGAGTGTTACCAGATGAGACAAATGATATTACAGTGTTACTATGCTCAAATTTACAGTATTTACGACAAAATTACAGTAAAAGTAAAAAAAATACAGTGAATTTTACAGTAGATTTCAAGAAACTTTTATTTATCTTTTATAAACTAAAATACTGTTTTAATTTCACCTTTTGTAATTTAGAATAAGCATAATACCTATATACAATTACACATTAATCGATCACTGTCACTATCATGTAGCCCGATATCCGCTTCTTTTTTTGCAGATCCCGCAATTAAACGATTTTATCATTTTCTCAGTTGGTTTAAAGTTAAGGCAACTGGTGCTGCGACGCCGAATGGTTTGTTGCGCTAACATGTTGCCTCTTATTGTCCTGGTTATTATTAAAAATATTGTATTTCTCAAACGAAAGAAATATATTTCAAAAAAAAATTAGAGTCTTAGGTACTAACCTTGTGCCAGAATTCATCAGGCCGTAGAGTCTTAGTTACTAACCTTGTGCCAGAATTCATCAGGCCGTATTGCAGCATCGAAATTTCCTTTTGACTTTGGCAATTTTCTCCATTGGTCATCCAAAGCTTGTTGTTCTATCATAGAAGTTGGTGTCAATCTTGGCATTAAGCTTAGTATATATGAATTGATTCATCGCGATCTGAGATATCGAGACATGTTTCAGGATCCAATTTGGATATCCCAACCAATACTGGATCATTTAGCGCGAACCTTTTGCGGGTGCCTACGCACGAGTTAATTAAAAAATTTCGGCATTTCTTTTTTGAAACCCTTTTTTTCTCTGCTGCTATTTAACATTTGTTGAAAACTGTTTAGATACTCCCAAGCCCAGGTTAGATGTCATCCAAATTTTTGAAATTGTTTTCGTCAGTTGGGTCAATTTTTTCCTAGTTCACTGTTTGCAATATGTGCCGTTGTCATATATGTCGATAAAAGTTCGTGAAAGAGACCGTCATTTTAGTGTTAAGTTTTGTGATCATTGGAGTCTTACTCTGAAATAGCGTATTAGTTTCAGTAAATTTAGGTAACATCGAGTTTAAAAAGAAAAAGTATGATTTTGTTATGGATCATTCAACTGCACATGGATTTCAGAACATTCGTTGTCTTCAAGCCATCTTCCATCAAAAACAGTGTTAGTGCATTCCAATGTTCTAAAATTCTTTGCACTACAGCACTTAGTGATAACCATCTCGTTTGAGTCGGTTTCAAAATTTTGTGTATATCTGTTTCTGTGAATACTTGAAACTCTTTTAATAGAGATTGCCTTTTGCTACTGGTCGCAAAATAATTGTAAATATCACGTGTTAGCTTTTCGCATTCAGCTGGTAACTATTTGCATGCGTCACTCGCACAAAGATGCAGGGAATGACAAACACGTTTAAGAACAATCATTCCGGGACATTTTGCTCTAAATCGACTCGAAATAGAGTTGTGACACACCATCATAGTATTACACCCGTCTGATCCAAATCCTATAATATTTTCAATACGAATAGAATTTTCCTCGAAGGATATTATTACTGCTTCGAAAAGATGTTGTGCTGTGGCGGTAGCTACCGGAGCAGAGTTTTCCTCGCCATGTATATGAATTAGGTCCCAAAATCTGCTGACAATTTGACCTTTTTGTGCACAGTAATATCTGACCACAACACACATAGTTTTTACTGCTCCGATATCAGTGCTTTCATCAATCATGACAGAGAATTTTTGCTCCTTTAGAGCTGCACACAAATCTTGTTTTTCCGCTTCTCCTAGAATATTGTTTATTATTGCTTGACATTTTGTTCTCTTCATTTTCATATTTTTTGCAATCTGAGAGTCAGGAAACATAGTGATTGTCCATCACCCTCATGGATATTTTATGCTCTTCCATAAAAGCAGCCAACTTTATCTCAGATGCTTTGCATTTATCATCATCGAACTGCTCAACCTTTTCAAATGCAGTAGCAATCGAAGATTGAGCTGGCGCTGCTGTAGTTCTTTTTACATGCTTAGCACCTTCACCATGTCTTTTTATCACTACTCTGTCAGCTATCAATTTTGCATCACACATAAAACAAACTGCACGATACGGGTCTTTTGAGTCACGTTTCAGCCAAGTTTTGAAACTATTGTCTTTTAACCACTCGTCTGTGAATTTTTGTTTATAATGTATCTTTTTTGCTTTTTTTGGAGTTGATGGTCCGCTTTGATCACTATCATCAGATGAATTAGGCATTTTAAATTCTCAAGTCCTTAAACAAAATAACTACTTGCACCAGTTTCACATAAAGACTTGAAAGAGCCAATAAAAACGTTTACAATCATACTAATTTAAGTTAGTCCCAATAGGCTTGAAAACAATATTAAAACACAGTTGACACAATTTGGGTGGTTAATAATAAGAAGTGGTTTTTAGTCTATGACGGGTTGTGACATATGCAGAGAGGTGGCGCGGGCTCCAGTAGCCAGTTGCGTTTTGTTATGTTCATGTTATTTTTTTCTTTTCACAAAGGCTGCGTTCAGTTTACATTAAAACTATTTTGATTTTTGCCTGTAGAAAATTACAGTGCTCTCTATACACTGTAATTTTAGTATTACAGTAGACAGTAGATCGTGTGAAAATACAGTAAATCTGCTGTAATTACAGTGTATCTGGTAATGCTACGCCTGACATGGAGCTGTGTGAACAAGTTCATACAATTTGTACGTAGCCGATTTTTACCCCGTCCCTGACGGAACACGGCCGGGACGAGTTCTCGGAAATGTGTGGATAGCGTTTAATGCGGGTTTTATCTTTTAGTTTGTCCTATGTAGAAGAGACCACATTCACAATCAAGCTTGTTCACTACTGCAACTTGCGGAGAGACGTTACACTTAACTGCTGATAAAAACTGACCAATCTTCTTCGGCGTCCTGAAGTATGCTTTAATGGAAGCGCGCTTCAAGATGTAGCCAATCTTGTCAATGACTCCTCTAATATATGGTACACGCTCGACTGTGGGCGGCTTCACTCGTTCACTGTGACGAAGGCGCGGGACCCGGAGCCTGTCCAACACGTCATGCAAAACTTGCTTGACGTGTTGGCGCTCGACAGCCAGGTGTTTACTGTAACAGATCCCTCGTGCTCTCTGAAACAAAGATTTACCCACGGTAGCTAACTGTGAAGGATGATGGTGAGAATCACCGTTTAAATCTCTATCTGTATGGGTCTTTTTTTGTTGTAATAAAATAAAGAACGCAGTTTTATAAGTGAAAATGTATTTTTATTTTTTATTTTTAAAAACATCTTGTGCACACTATGACAATTTATAATGAAGAGAGTGACAGGGTTACCAACACCAAACATTAAATTAAGGTGAAATTACATTGCCATATTCTCAACATATTCTATACATAGTATGGCTCAAGGTGTTACCAGGATTCCGAATTATTAACACATCTAGAAAAGCTAAAGAATTGTTTCCCTCTAACTTCATTGTGAACTACATTTTAGAATTTATACGAGTTAAGATGGTCTAAAAATGCAGTTACTTTATCTAAAGGTACAATTGTGAAAGTGTCGTCTACGTACCGCTTGTAGAATCTTGGATTTATGGGAGAAGTAAGCGGGGCTTTCTTCTCAAAGTCTTCCATGAATATGTCGGCGATAATGGGAGACACAGGTGAGCCCATCGCCACACTGTCTACTTGCTTGTAGAACTCCTTCCACAATAATAAGCCAAATGTAAGGCAGTGTATGAGTAATACTGCATATTCTACGGGCATGTTGTTTTCTTCCAGCCTTCTAGTTACAATTGAGATGCAGTCTTCAACAGGTAAGGTTAGTGGATTTGGTAAACAGAGCGATGTTGGAACATTCGAGGCTTCCGAACTATATCAAAATTTAAATACTGGGGAGAGGGATATTCCATAACCAGAATATTTTCCAGGAACGAATGTGAAAGCACCGTATACATTTATAGGCGATAAAACATATCCATTGATAAAATACTTTGTGGCGGCACTGTCGGCGTGCCACTAGCGAAATACACCGAAGCCTAAATCACCCCTTTCCCTTCCACCGCTTAAACTTATTAAAACCTTTTAGAAGCCGAGATTTGTCTTCAGAGCAAATTATTATTTATAAGCGTCCTTCGAGAGCTAGAAACTCTGTTGAATGTGCGTTCGGCATAGCAAACTCAAAATGGCGACTACTCTCTAAATGCATTGAATATAATCTTGATTTAGCAGAAAAATTGTTAAGTGCATTTGTCTTAACAATTTTTCTGCTACACAACACAATGATCGATAAAGAAGGCATAGACAAAAACTTTACTTTTGTTAATACAGTTCATTGAAGATGGAATAGGCCAAGTTACACTAAAATAGAATGAAATATTTACGTTGACTAGTTTTTATACAATATATTGACTTACTTTATCTACCCTTACTAAAATTAAGATACCTATCTATTTATGTTTCTTATAAGTACCCTAGAATAAACGGTTAATTTAATTAAGACATAATATTTAAATAAAGTACGTCTAAAACTTAACGATTTAAATGTTCATAATGATTTCTTATATTTACGCGAACACTACACATGATTAAAACTACTTTTACGGATTTTATCGCGTTTATTTTTGCTTTTATTATTTTATTTTAATTCCCGACGTTTTGGGCGCTTTCCAGCACCCATGGTCACGGGGGACTGAGATGACTGACGTCCCGATGTCATTGTTAAACCCGGAGTACCTTCAGCTTTTTTAATTATTGTTTATGGTCCGATCTATGCAAAATGAACACTATGTCCTGAGGTCTTGCAGTGGTATGCTTGGGTTTAGTTTTAATTTTATTGATTATAGGATCCCAAGCAGGTGGTAGTACCCAGCCTCCTTCTCTATTGAAATTAGGATGTTTTTTAATTTCAATAGCCTCATGTATCATCCTTGGTAGGAATCGGTGTTCTTTTGCGAGGATTTGTGGTCTATCAAATCTGATGTAATGGTTGGGGCCGTCTAGGATATGATCACAAACTGCAGACTTCCTGGAACGTTGATGCTTCACATCAGCTATATGTTCTTTGTTCTTTTACGCGGGTTCATCAATGGTAAGAAACAAATGGTAGGAGACTCTTTAGGAACAATAAATTATCATCATCTTCATTTTGACTTCTTTTGTTTTTCAAATACTCCAGTTTTTGCTTCTCTATGTCAACATATTTTGATTGAATGTGTTGAGTTTTTTTTGCATGCTACTGAGCTCTCTTTCGGTAATTTGGTGCTTGCTGACCTCTCTGAGACGTTGCTTGGGCTGGCTTGATCAGTTTTTGAATCGTCTTGATTGAGATTGTCTTGATTGAGATTGTCTTGATCGATATTGTCTAGATCGAGATTAGAATCACCTTAGACATAATTAAAAGCACTGGTTTGTTGCTCAGATCCCACTGATAATTGACATTGAGATTTGGTCAGATTTCCCGAAGATTTTCTTGCCTTAATGATATCTTTCAAAAACAGCAGGGATTTGTAATATGGCCATTTTGGTTCATAGGAAGTAGATGCTCCATCCCCAAAACGTAGAACTGGAATATTTCCATGTTCGATTGCAAATTGGTGCCTGAAATATTTCCATTTCTTACTGACTTTGTTCTCTGATTTGGCCGAGATTTGTCTTCAGACCAAAAAAAAAATTAAATAATCGTCTTTTGAGAGCCATAAAATGTGTTGAGTGTGCGTTCGGCATAGCAAAATCAAAATGGCGACCACTTTCTAAATGCATTGAATGTAATGTTGATTTAGCAGAAAAAATTGTTAAATGAATTTGTGTTTTACATAATACTATAATCGATAAAGAAGGTATCAATCGAAATTTTACTCCTGTAAATGCAACACATTTAAGGTAGAATAGAGCAAATCACCCCACAAATGAAGCAATAGATATAAGAAATATTTACATTGACTATTTTTCACACAATACATTGACTTACAACAATTATTTATTTAACTTTATCTACCCTCACTAACATTAATGGCATAGCTATGACATCACATCCTAAATAACATTTTATTCAGACATATTTAAATAGAGAACTTATTAAACTTAACGGTTTATTAACTTAAGTCGAGAAACAAAAATAAAATCAATTAATACTTACCGCCTTCATTCATTGCCTCGCTTATTTCTTTCCAACATTTGTCATTCACGTTTCTATTACAATGCCTTTTATCCCTTTTGTCCCACACGGGTTGCTTACTGAAGACTAAGGGTAACAACACGTCACTATTCATTATAATATTTGTCAATATAAATATGCCTGTCGTAATTGCACGTTTTGTAGCAGTTGTTTACTAATTTTAAATGGCAGTGCCCAGCGCTGACCAGCGCGTGTTGAAGTTTGTCGGAACTTGTCGACTCCGTTCAGTGCTTATCGGCGCGCGTTCATATATTTTCCTGCGCGGGTTACCAGCGCTGTCAAGCGCCGGTAAGCGCTTATAAGTTTCCAGCTTTCTTTCTGTATACAGTCAAATACTTTACGAAAAACTATTAAATCAAATAACAGCTAGCCAGGCCCTACATTTCGTGTATCTTCTTGCAGCCCCTTTAATTCCCATTAATATAAAATTGAAATTGTTCATTTTTTATAAGCATATGCATTACTATGCCCCTAGTAATGTTTATGCCAATCACTAAACATAAGGATGAAATTATTAAAAATCAAACTTACTTTAACGGGACCAAAACTTGTCAAAAAACAGCGCTATAGACGTCGTCCCCTACCTTCGTGTTTTGATTTACAACTGACGCTGAGATTCACGCCAGTGTTACCAAATTTAAAATATATTTTCCACTGATATGTAAAGTTTATTTATCATGCAAAAAGGCAAAAAGGCTGAAATTAGGGGCGTGGCTGGTAAGGGGGGCATCCACTTTGTTTTAAAGGTAGGAAATTTTATCTTTGTGCTGTGTATTTCTTGTACTTTTGTGATAACGCAACGTTTACGAAATATGATTGACGATTCTGACAATGATGACGAATACATTCGAAGGCTTCCATGATGGATAAGAGAAAGGAACAATTACTTCGATAACTTGATAACCGTGACTTTTCAATAAGGTTTCGATTGTCCCAAGCAGCTACTTTTTGTCTTTTATCCAAAATCGAGCATCAGCTGGAACCTACATCAAACTTGTATGTACCCACTTTTGATTATATATTTGTCTACATAATCAATGGTACACACACATCTAGATATATTTTTTCCAAAAGCTGTGTGTCATTCTAGATTTAAAACTAAAATATTACAGTAGGTAAAGTTACTTTTGTGATAACGCAACGTTTACGAAATATGATTGACGATTCTGACAATGATGACGAATACATTCGAAGGCGTCCATGATGGATAAGAGAAAGGAACAATTACTTCGATAACTATGATGACCGTGACTTTTCAATAAGGTTTCGATTGTCCCAAGCAGCTACTTTTTGTCTTTTATCCAAAATCGAGCATCAGCTGGAACCTACATCAAACTTGTATGTACCCACTTTTGATTATATATTTGTCTACATAATCAATGGTACACACACATCTAGATATATTTTTTCCAAAAGCTGTGTGTCATTCCAGATTTAAAACTAAAATATTACAGTAGGTAAAGTTACTTTTGTGATAACGCAACGTTTACGAAATATGATTGACGATTCTGACAATGATGACGAATACATTCGAAGGCGTCCATGATGGATAAGAGAAAGGAACAATTACTTCGATAACTATGATGACCGTGACTTTTCAATAAGGTTTCGATTGTCCCAAGCAGCTACTTTTTGTCTCTTATCCAAAATCGAGCATCAGCTGGAACGTACATCGAACTTGTATGTTCCCACTTTTGATTATATATTTGTCTACATAATAAATGGTACACACACATCTGGATATATTTTTCCAAAAGCTGTCTGTCATTCAAAGATTTAAAACTAAAATATTACAGTAGGTAAAGTTACCTTTTCTGTCAGAAATTCCTTAATATCTCCAGTAAATCAGTTGTTGGCCACTTTGAGATATAATGCAACAAACTGAACACAAACAAGCATTGAAGACTACTGTGGTCTAAATACGCCGACAGCAAACAAATTGTACACAGAGTTAGTGCTGCAACAGCTGCATTGCATAGGCGCTGTCTCCACGAGCGATTATTCCGCCTGCGTATCGTCACGACTCGTGACGGAATCGCAGCGTATTAGCGACGACTCGTAACGGATTCACCGATTTTGCGTTGTGCTTTTATTTGTTGAAAGAGTTCAGTTAGGTGCCAGACGAAACCGAAATAAGTAGTGTCTCAGTCAATAAAATAATTCTTTATTATGAATGTCGTGTTATGGGGTGCTTGTGCAAGTACGCTAGTAACTATGCAGTTATTGTTATTAAGAAAGGAAAAAAAGCGCCGTTGGTGGACATATCCTATGCTACTACGTCGTAAAAGTCATGGACATTTCCATGTGAATTATGAAGAATATCGACATCATCCAGATTGGTTTGAAGATAAATATTTAATGCCAATTCCTGTTTTCGATGAACTGTTAAGTTTACTGTCAAGAAACATATCAAAGCCAGATGCTAATATGAGGAAAAGTATCGGGCCATGTGAAAGATTAGCAATAACACTACAGTAAGTTTTAAGCAGTTTTATTTGTGTTAAACGCTTACATCAGTTATATAAATCGTAAAGTTTATATTCCATCAAAGTGTTCTAACATTTGAGCAATATCGTCGTCGCTTGTTGGTGTGGATGCACGTGGATATGATTCTTCCAATGTATGTGATGGTGGTATGTATTTCTTAATCACAGACATAATCTCAGTTCTGGCGTCAATTTAATAATCTTCTTTTATTTTGTCCATAAGTGGTAGCATCGAACGGAATAATGCCTCATTTCCACGCTCGTCATTATACTGTCGTTGATCATTATTTCTTTGTATATCTATGCTCTCGCGCATAACATTCGATATCTCTTTATTCGATTCCAGAAACATTTGGACTAATGTTTTCTTTTTATTAGACGTGGATGGTTCGGTAACACTGGGGGTGGTATTAACCGAACTGTTGTCATCCTCAAAAACTTCTTGACTGTCATCGTTGAGCATGTTTGACGATTTTAAAGCGTGTTCTGTGTGTTTCTTTAAAAAAGGTAATGCATCATAATGGATATACTTTCGTCGTTTTGAGGCAGCTTGACCGGATTTTGAACATTGCTGCAACTTTAACTCCTTACGAAATTGATCCCTTAAAGATATCTACATAGATCCCTGAAATAAAGAATTATTACATTAAATTTAATTTATTTAGTATATCACTGAAGCACTTTTACAATCTGGCTAGGCACAAGTGAACCAAAATTGATTGTTATTTGTTTTTCCTAAAAATAATACAGATTACACACACATATGTATGTGTGTAACATATATTCACATTACTTGTAGTAATACCTATATTAAATTTATGCATTTTATATGTATATTATGTAACGTGTATATAATATGTATGTAATTATGTATATATTATTATGTATATTAATAAAAAAACACAGATTAATAAAAACCTACCGCTTTGGTGGGGTCTTCGTTTTTTAACCGATTTCAAAAAAGTGGAATATGATAAAAGTATATTTTTAAAATAATTAAGTCATTTTTCAGATATCTCGCTACTGGAACAAATTATAAGCGCCTTCAGAATAAGTACAAAATTTCGAAAAAAACGTTAGCTAAAGTAATAAAAAAACATGTGGAATCATATGGAAAGTGCTAGCACCTACAGAAATCGCAACCCCAAATAAAGAATCATGGAAAAGAATCTCAGAGGGATTTAAAGACAATGCAAATTTCCCACATTGCTTGGGAGTGCTAGACGGCAAACACATTCGAATTCAGTGCCCCCGAAATTCCGGCTCTCTATACTTTAATTATAAAAAGTACAACTCAATCATTTTATTGGCTTTGGTGGATTCAAATTATTTGTTTACTGTTATTGATGTAAGTTCTAATGGCCGTGAAAATGATTCTAATATTTTTCAATCTTCAATTCTAGGTCAAAAGCTGCATGAAGGAGCTCTTGATTTGCCGGAAGAAGAAGAAGAACTGGTAAATGACGGACCCAAAATGCCATATGTGATTGTAGCCGATGAGGCCTTCGGTATTCATCGAAATTTAATGCGACCGTATCCAGGTTGATGTCTTCCTACGAATAAAAAAAATTCAATTACAGACTGTCTCGTGCGAGACGTTACGTGGAATGTGTCTTTGGACAGCTCACATCAAAATTTCGCATATTTCATAATACAATAAATCTTCAACCGGACACTGCAACTCTTGTAATAAAAGCAACTTGTGTTTTGCACAACTTCATAAAGCGTCGAGCATTAAAGGCCAATGACGGGGAAAATGAGCATAATGCTACTAATAGCAACAATGAACACATGTCCAATCTTCAAAATATGACACACGTGCTTCAAAGGACAAGGAATTCGGGGATGCATATTCGAAACTTATTTAAATATTATTTTAACACAGTGGGCACGGTTCCTTGGCAAAATGACTACATCGTTTAAATAAAATTATCTATCTTATAATTATAACAACTATAATTACCTAAATAAATAAGTATTGAACGCTCACCCTTTTCTTTTTTTTCTTTATAGGTTAGGCCATTCCATTCCGTGAACATAGCACTTCCCACATCATACCAATACCATGCCTTTATTTCTCTATTCCGATACTCGGGCAACTGAACATCGTAAAGGGCAGGTCTCTCTCTCACTTCAAATTTAAGGTTTTCAATGTTAAACATTATACTTATATTGTATGCTTGTCGATACGTAAAGTCCTTGCTTGGCGAGAGGCAACGCTGAAATGACGCTGCGTGTGACAGCGAGTTCGCCGCGCGCTCGCTGCGAGAGCGCCACGTTCCGCGGCGAGTGCGCCGCTAGTAGCGACGATACCGCGGCGGTACGTTGCCACTCGTCGGATCGCCGCGATAAAATCGCCCTGTGGAGACGCGTTCATAGAGAGTATATAGAAATACGTGGCACGACGATAATATCGCCGCGATTCTCTCGCTCTTGGAGACAGCGCCATACAGAGTACATAAAATTTCCTGAATCAGCTCAAGATAAATAAGACATGAACAAAATAAATTTTACCAAATAGCTCGTTTTCCAAGAGTAATTAGAGCCATGGATTGTACACACATTCGCTCCATAGTCGTACCCTTAAGACTGGAGGTAGGTAGTAAATAAGCAAAGATATATAGAAACGAAAAATAATACTACTCTTACTTATGTGCAAATTATATATAATGCCAATTTAGAATTAACCGACACAGTCGCAAGATTGGCCATCTTGCGACTGTGTGGTTCAACTAATGACAGCACAAAATTTAATAATAGCTTCAGAAAAGTTAAGTTATTGGTGGACAGAGGATATGCTGCAAAGAGTTATACCATGACTCCATTAGAAATTCCAATGACACCAGCTGAACAACCGTACAATGAGTTACAAATTCGTACCAAAAATAATTGGGATGAGAGTAAAATTAGATAAAGCACTAACTGTTACCATAGCCACAGCAGTATTTCGCAATACGTTGCGCAGGCGAAAAAAACATCTTCAATCTAATGACCCAGAAGTATTGCAAGCTCCATGGGATGAACTTTGGGATTCCATGGGAATAACTTTGCCAAATCCAGAGCTTGGAATCAGCACAGCAATCTACTGGCCAATTAGCACGCAATTTGTTAATAAGTAATTATTTTTTTAGTTTATTGTAGCTATGAAATCTAGTCAGTTGATTACAGTGATTCTTAATCTAGTTTTTTATTATCCAAATTTTAAAAAATGCAAAGTAGTATAAAATAAAAAGTTTAAATAAATTTAATATTTTATTGTTTATTGTTCAATTGCTTTTTCTTCATTCTTAAATTTAATAATAAAATACGGGTCTTAAATTTTTCTTGTTTTAATTATTCCCTTTTTATTTGTAAGTCCAGATCGTGAACTTCATTTGAATGTAGTAGTTCCTTCTCAGCAACACTCTTCTGGAAATCAATTGCTTCCATTTTCTTTTCATGCAATTTTTGCAATGATGATAAAGGAGTTACATATATAGGTCGGCTTCTTGAAATCCAAGTTTTGTAATTTTCCTTCGTGCTCGTTATTATCATACTCAAGAGGTTTAGCAACAGGAGTTCTTAATGTTTTGGAAATATATTCACTCCAGTCCTAAACAAAAACTACATTAAAAATGTAAACAATATGATGCCCATATAATATATTATCAATCATTTACAAACCGTCTAAACGATATACCAGATGGCCACAGCTTATCATCCAGGAATGTATCAATCTTATGCTTAGCTACAAATAGTATATAAGCACTGTAGTCTCTTTGTCGCTTTATTTAAATTTTTACAAGAGACACCTTTTCCCGCGATTTTTCATATATATATATATATATATATATATATATATATATATATATATATATATATATATATATATATATAGTTAAAAATGTCCTGTTCATCCACATGCTCATGTACATTAGATATAAAAAGAAGCACCTGTATATCCGCTGCCTTAAACTTTATACTTTTTCCCTTTAAATCTACCGCCATTCCTTTTTGACACATAAATCGGTTTCTTAGTCTCCGTTTCTGAGCTACGATCCATTCGTCGCATCTTTTTGGTTCTTTCTATTCTCCATCTCTTTTAACCACTTCAGAAAAAGTCTTCGCCTCGCTATTAATGTGTCATTTGTTTGTTTATCTTATCTTATATATACTAAGGGTATATATGTTGAAGTTTGTCGGAACTTGTCGGCTCCGTTCAGTGCTTATCGGCGCGCGTTCATATATTTTCCTGCGCGGGTTACCAGCGCTGTCAAGCGCCGGTAAGCGCTTATAAGTTTCCAGCTTTCTTTCTGTATACAGTCAAATACTTTACGAAAAACTATTAAATCAAATAACAGCTAGTCAGGCCCTACATTTCGTGTATCTTCTTGCAGCCCCTTTAATTCCCATTAATATAAAATTGAAATTGTTCATTTTTTATAAGCATATGCATTACTATGCCCCTAGTAATGTTTATGCCAATCACTAAACATAAGGATGAAATTATTAAAAATCAAACTTACTTTAACGGGACCAAAACTTGTCAAAAAACAGCGCTATAGACGTCGTCCCCTACCTTCGTGTTTTGATTTACAACTGACGCTGAGAGATTCACGCCAGTGTTACCAAATTTAAAATATTTTTTCCACTGATATGTAAAGTTTATTTATCATGCAAAAAGGCAAAAAGGCTGAAATTAGGGGCGTGGCTGGTAAGGGGGGCATCCACTTTGTTTTAAAGGTAGGAAATTTTATCTTTGTGCTGTGTATTTCTTGTACTTTTGTGATAACGCAACGTTTACGAAATATGATTGACGATTCTGACAATGATGACGAATACATTCGAAGGCGTCCATGATGGATAAGAGAAAGGAACAATTACTTCGATAACTATGATGACCGTGACTTTTCAATAAGGTTTCGATAGTCCCAAGCAGCTACTTTTTGTCTTTTATCCAAAATCGAGCATCAGCTGGAACCTACATCAAACTTGTATGTACCCACTTTTGATTATATATTTGTCTACATAATTAAAGGTACACACACATCTAGATATATTTTTTCCAAAAGCTGTGTGTCATTCCAGATTTAAAACTAAAATATTACAGTAGGTAAAGTTCTCTCTCATCTCTTTTAACCACTTCAGAAAAAGTCTTCGCCTCGCTATTAATGTGTCATTTGTTTGTTTATCGTTATCAATTAATGCTTCGAACGGTTTGCTTACATGCCCAACAGCTGTTTTATTCACTATAGGTATATACGCTCGCGCTGTACTATGAATCATTGTGCACTCACCTACTATCGCATTCACACATCGTGAGCTTTGTAGTACACGCGCTGGAGGTTGCGACTTCTCTTTCACGCTTGATACAATTTTTGGCGATGAGTGACGTGAATGCATAGACTCTTTATTTATAGACAGAGATGTACACTTTTCTGGTTCATTAGCCTCGGAAATGTATGACGCATTATTACAAGATGTTGAGAGCGGCATCGGTCCGCCATCGTACATAAAATTGTCACAACCACCTCTTTGGTTAATTTAAAATACTCATTTATTTCATCATGAAGTTGGTTTTTCGTAACGTATTGATGTCGAGTGTCATGTATGATTTTCTATAATAGTACTATCTTTTTAAGCAACACTGTCACATCAACATGATCGTTACGGGTGGTAATTTTTCTAATCGTCTTGCTACAATAATTGGTACCTGTTCGGGGTCCGATTTTTTAATCAAGCAGATAATATCTTCAATATTCCTTAGAGTTTTGCCCTGTCGTTTTCTAATTTTTGGTCGCTTGCTTACTGATTCAAATAATAACGACTTCGCTAATTTAATTTCTTCAGCTCTAAAAGAACTTTCACAAATCTGTATCAGGCTTTGTTCATCCATCACATCTAGTTTATTTTGCACAAAGGCCAATACTTCACACATTACAATATTACAATTTGAATACTTCAATCGCTTCGATATGCTATCCATTGCAACGGCAAAGATCATTGACAGCGTGCGCTTGCGTTCACGGTCTCGACCCGACTGTTAAAAGTTAATTGAGAAACTGTTAAAAGAAAATTTGAATTAAATAGAAAATAGAATCTTTGGGTCGAGGGATTAAAGGAAGCCCCTCTATTGGATGTAGATTTATCGGTTTTGAATAGCAATTCATTTACTGCATTTATGTACAAATATTTAGGTATCTTATGTAATCGGAAAGTTGCTTAATACTACCAAAATTATTTCAAATAAAAACACCAAAAAAAAAGCACGTTCAAATTTTCCCGCCATACGAGAAAAGTGCAAGTAGGCTGACGATAAATTGAGTTAGTGGGTATATATCACATTTTTTATATTTTGTATGAAGTTGTCGTTCTTCTCCGATAGGAGTAATAGTGTTCTGTGATGATGACAATGAAACAACGAAACAAAAACTGTCATTGTGGCTTTATTGTGAAAAAAAAAGAGTATCGTGAAATAAATGGTTTGGAAGATATGTAAAAAGCAGTTTATAGATTTCAAAATCCTACTAATATGAAAAAGAGCATGTTAATACTACAAATAAATAAATATTTAATATTTTAATTCATATTGCCACATATTACTTATTTAATAAAGGTACATATTTGAAAATGGTTTAATTAAAGTAATCGCTACTCTCAACTGTAGTGATAAACTTTTACTCGATGTAAGGTCTGTAGGGGGAGGCGGGGCAGATTGATGCAAGGGGCAGATTGATTCACCTAACATATATCAAAACCGGCTAGATGTAATCGAGTAGTGACAACACTATAACTTGTCTATGCATACATTAGCGCAGCACTTGTGACCGCGCCGCCATTCAGTTAGCCGATGGCGTTAGACGAGTAAGTTTGTGATTTGTGTTCGCCCGGCTAAAAAATACACGTGGAATATAAAAGAGATTCACTTACTTTCTACAATTTCTTCGAATTTATTATACATACTAAAGGTGAGTTATTCCATCCATAAATATGAGTTTAATGCTTTTAACTCAATAAATCAACATAAATAAACATGACGTTAACGTTTTACAAAAACTTCTGTTGGGGCACAATCATACGGTAAACTCTGGGGCACTTTGATGCGTATCATTGTGCCCTAATTAAAAATTTTATTACTATTTATTTAGCGAATCTTTTTTTCAGAAATGATGCGAACATATAAACCAAAGACCAAACGATGCAATATAAACGAAGAAAATATGAAGGCTGCTATATCCGACATTATATCGAAGAAATTATCTATATGAATTGCATCTGTTAAGTATAACATCAAAGCTGCAACACTGCAACATCGTATCGAGAAATTTCGAAAATCTTTTGAAGATAATCAAGCATCATCATGTAAATCATACAGATCTAAATACACTGTTGCTCAAGTATTCTCGAAACAAGAAGAGAAGATGCTTACAGAATATTTGTTAAACTGTAGCAAAATGCACTACGAGTTGTCCTTCCAGCAACTTTTGGTTTTGGCTTATGAATTTGCTTATTCAGCAAATTCATAGCAAACCAAAGTAAATATAAGGTTGTAAATATCCAGGATCGTGGAAGAAAAATAAATATGCTGGGAAAGTCTGGTTAAGAGGATTTAGAATGCGGAACCAGGAGCTTAGCTTCAGATAGTCGGAAAACACAAGCGCAGCACGATGTTTCGCATTTAATAGAACAGCAGTGAATAATTTATTTGACAATTATGAGTGTGTAATTAATTCTACGATATAATTTGGCTCCCGATCGGATCACCAACCTTGACGAAACTGGGGTAACCACCGTTTTATCTACACCTAAAGTTCTGGCTGAAAAGACACAGAGGCAAGTAGGACAAATAGTGTCTGCAGAAAGAGGAGAGCTAGTTACATTTTGCGGAATGGTAACTGCAACAGGTGTTGCCCTTCCTCCTGTCTATGTCTTTCCTCGTGTTCATTTCAAAGACCATTTTTTAAACGGCGCTCCGGTTGTAAGTCTTGGTTTATCTAACAGAAGTGGCTGGATGATGGCAGAATTGCACGTTGATGTTCTTAAACATATTCAACGGCACACATCATGTACCAAAGATAATCCAATTTTAATTATATGTGACAATCACGAGTCACATGTTTCAATTCAAGCAGTGAATTTTTGTCGCGATCGTGGAATCGTTTATCTATGTCTTCCGCCACACACATCCCACAAACTACAACCACTGGATGTAAGCGTTTTTGGCCCCTTTAAAAGCAGATTTAAAATAGCTTTTAACGACTGGCATATTCGAAATGTCGGTAAAACTTTATCCATCTATAATATAGCAGAGCGTACCAAATCGGCCTTCCTAGAATCTTTTACGCCAAGAAACATCACAAGTGGCTTTTCAAAGCCTGGGATTTGGCTATTCGATGGACTAGCATTTGGGGATGACGATTTTGCTCCAATAGAAGTTTTTGATGCTGGATTTCAGAACGAAGGTGATGATGGTGGCCTGGATTTAGACAAATTGGAAGTTGATTTTGTGGGAATCCAGACAAGTCAAGATAGAGTTAGCGAAAACTCTGTAGGAGACGAGATTTTAGCTAGGGAAGCCGATCCTCTTAGTCACCAGTCGGACATTGCTGCACCTCCAAACCTTGCTTCATCATTTTTGAGCGTAACTCCATCTCCAAATGTTTTCCCATCGACTTCTCGAATGTTTTGTCCCCTGAAGCTGTAAGGCCATATCCAAAAATAGTTAGGAATAAAAAAAACATCTATAAAAGGAAGAGAAAAAGGGAAATCTAGAGTTACACTGAAATACCGGAAAAGAACAGATTGCAGATATTACAAGATCAAAAAGAACGATTGCGACAATTGAAAATAATGAAGGAGAAAGCAAAAGCTTTGAAAACTACAAAAAATTATTGGATCTAACGAAAACTAAGAAATCTAGAATAAAAGAAATTTTACAATCGCAGTTTGATTCTGAATCCAGTCTGAATGAGTCGATGAAATTAAGTGATGATAGCGACAATCATTTTGATGAGCTACCTGTCGAGGAAGCTAAAGAACATAGTTATGCCCCTGATCTCGAAAATATAAACATTGGAGATTTCTTGCTTATTAAATTTGGTAATAAGAAATCTTCAGTCTATAATGTAGCCAAAGTCTTGTCCAAATACACTTTGATCGAGTACCAAGTGTCCTACCTCAGAAAGAAACTAGGATCATGCGTTTTTGTTTTTCCAAATGTAGAAGACCAAGCTAGCGTTGATTTCCGAGATGTAGTTTTACATCTGCCTGAACCAAATTTTTCAAAGGGCACATGTCGAATATCATCTCACTATACATTTTCAGTTAATTTAAGTGCTTATAAGGTGCAGTAAAGAAGTTTAATATGTGTTTGTTGTTTGGTGTTTTATTTTTATTTTGATTGATTTATATCAAAAGTTTTTTTGTTTAGTTATAGAAAGTTTCTATGAAGAAGATATATAGTTAAAATGGATTTTAGAATGAGAAATGTGCTTAATTCGTAAAATTGTAAGACTAATTGTGATCTCTGAACAATAAAAGCATATTATTAACATACTAGTCTTTCAACTTAATAATATTTCCATATAAATTTTAGTTTGTATCAAAATGCCCCATGTAGTGTATCTAAGTGCCCTGTAGGTGGGGCACAATGATACAAATCTCTTTTTTACTAAAAGCTTTATATTTTTTTATACATTAATTAGACAATTTGTTTTTATTACTTTTATTATATTTATAGATGTAGCAATGAAAAAACATAACAAATATACATTTTTACGTTATTTAAGCTCTTAAAAGTGACTTTAAAATTTTATGCATCAATCTGCGCCACTTCCCCTAATGTTGCTTTACTCGAAAATTGGTGTACTACTAGAATAATATACATATTTAAATTAACCCGAGTGGCTCGAGTCACGAAATTCTTTTCGAGTCGCATCTTACGGCCAACGCAGTGTGTCTACAATTTAGTGATAAAATCGACTTACTCCCGCAGAAGTCTGCAGTCTGTGAACATGTACAGGATCGCCCCCGTCACTACATCAGATTGGATAGACCACAAATCCTCGCTAAAGAACACCGATTCCTTCCAAGGATGATTCGCGAGGCTATTGAAATCAAAAAACATCCTAATTTCAATAGAGAAGATGGCTGGGTGCTACCATCTGCTTGGGATCCTATAATAAATAAAATTAAATCCCAACCCAAGCATACAACTGCAAGACTTCATGATACCATAAGTTCACACTGTGTAGATCGGAACAAAAGTTAAAATTTTAATCTATGGTAACCGCGGTTAACTATGACATCTGGACGTTGAACATCTCAGTCCTTCCCGTGACCATGGGTGCTGTAAAGCTCTCGAAACGTTGGGTATTTAAAAAGTTGAATATACGCGATAAATTCCGTAAAAACTAGTATTATACCAGTGAAACACTTGGATTTTAGCCCGAGAACTGAAAATTCTTTTTTTTTAAAAAAGTGGCCTAATTGAAATAATACTAGTTTTTACGGAATTTATCGCGTATATTTAACTTTTTAAATACCCGACGTTTCGAGAGCTTTACAGATATCATAGTTAACCGTGGTTACCATAGTTTAAAATTTAACTTTTGTTCCGATCTACACAAAACTAATTTTTTTTTAAATGTTGGTCTGTCTGTCTGTCTGTTCCGGCTAATCTCCGAAACGGCTGGGCCGATTTTTACGGGACTTACACTGGCAGATAGATGATGTTATAAGGAGTAACTTAGGCTACTTTTATTTCAGAAAAAGTATTAGGGTTTCGCGCAAAAGAAACTAAAACCCTAAATTACGAGTACACGCGGGCGAAGTCGCAGGAAATAGATAGTTAAATATATAAATCTCAAAATATCTAAAACTCTCCATAGCTCACTGAGTGACTTATAAGGTCAGCAATGGAGGACCATAGTTGTAATCTTGTTTTCAAGTTTTGAGGTTTATGTGACGAGATGTGGTAATCATCAAATGCTTCCCAGCTGAGTTAGATCTATGGATTGAACTTTCGGTTAAAGTTGGACTTACTTAATAGGACAATTTGTCCCAGATAAACATGTGTCATTTGTACATAATATATATCAACTAATATTTTAAAAAATAATAAATATTTACCCAGTATGTATTCTTTACTATATTTTGGCTTTTTAATTACTTCAGGAGCTACTTCTTCCATACCTTGCCTTCTTTTACAGTATGTATGATCATTATAATAGTCAGTGATGGATTGACCTGAAATAAATATCACTTTAGCTATTTTGTTATCATTTTTGTAAACTTTTCAATTATAGTTGTACTTGAATTCTTATGAACTGTTTGATAAATATTGAAAACATACTGCAAGTTCTCATGGTTAACCTTTAAAGTCGCACGATACTTTTAGCAAATGAAAAGAACTAAAAAAGGTTTTAATGGTTTATTAGGCGTTTAAAGAAGTTAAAAAAAATACCAAAAAAAATATAGAGGTTTTATTTTTTGGAAAAACCTATGTATAATATACTATACATTGCCACACTTGATGAAAATAATCTGCGATTATCAATGTATAGCATACTATACATTATACTTTATTACTGTTTTGTGTGGTACGCCAAGAAACAGTTCCTACCCTTAACTTAGCATAGATGTACATTGCATTTTGTGCACATTGTACTCGCTTAACCTCCTTTACAATATTTACAGCGTTGATAACCGGTTAACTGAGGCCAATGATCGAATTTGTCATACTGCACATAGTCAAGAGGCCTGTCGGCCATCGGTTTCTAAATCTTACTTTTTCAGGTACAGATAAAATGTCTTTTACGGGTACAATTCTATTACGTTTCAGAAGTCCAGCATAAAGAGCATTGCCCATTTTCGGCCATGGAACGCCCAACAATGTGAATTTGTTAAAAAATTATATCTTTATTTATGGTTATTAATCGCGGTATTCATTTATCCTCAAACAATGGGAATATTTTTGCACAAATTAAAAGTACCGAAAACATAATAATAAAAATTAGGTAAATCATTATGTCATTAGTTTGTGAATAAAGAAAAGTGTTGCCAATCACAAGACACATTTAAAAAATCGATTCTCTTTTTCGATCGATTATTTACGGTGTCATCATTACAGTGCAAATATAATTTTTAAATAATTATTATGTTACGATAATTAAACAAGCGAATTACTAGCTGATTTCCAATGAATTCTTTAGAGAGTAACAAATGCTACGGCACAATTTAACTGTTAATCTTAACCGATCTTCTTTGAAAACAGATAAGAACTGTTATTTTTATCTGTTTTTAAAGAAGATCGGTTAAGTTATTCTTATCTGTTTATAACAATACATTTAAAATAGAATCATGTTATGATAACGAAACAAGTTAGTTTCCAGCTGATTTACCATGAATCCTTTAACCTTTTGAGCGCCAAAGTCCCCTATACTTGACCAACACCTGCGGGCCCTGAGCGCCAACGACGTCTATAGTTGACAAAAAACCCGGCTCTCAAAAAATGAAATATAGATATTGGAAAATTATTACAGATATTTTAATTCTACACTCCTCAAAATAGGAATAACCCAGCAACATGTGAGTATAAAAAACAAGTCTTCTGGAGCCACAAGTACTAAGAAACATTGAACTAATAAAAATGGATTTTTATCTAAGCAAATACTATGTCCAGCACGCCAAAGTCGTTTATGGTTGACCGCTAGTGTCAAACGCGGGAGGCATAGATTTCTTGAAAACTATCCAAAATTCAGCTCAATGGTGTTTTCTTTTCTATTATTATTGATATTTGAATAAAATTAAAAATTAGAATCATAAAACTATAATTAGCTACATGAATAAAAAATTTTATCAGTTCATCTTCACATAATAAATCTAATATCTCAGCTCTAGCGCATCTTTAGCGCGTCATCGAAAATCAGTTCACTGGGCACCGTGATCAAGGATAGACGACACCCTGATGACGTCATAAGTGATTACCGAGAAAAGTAGAGCAATGCAACATGAACGATTCCTCAGAACTCATTCGGATTTTGGAAAGCGTCGATGATTATGAATTTTGATTTTTGATTGATGAATTGAATTTTTGATTGATTGGTGAACAAATATGTTTATTTATTCCATGACCAAGATTTTAGTATTATAAGGCTGATTTACCTAGTGCGAATAATTATATACAATTGTTGATTAATGAATAATTATGTACCTTTTTTAATAATAATACAAAATTATAATTAATGTTTTTTTTACTTAGGGTGTGAAGAGCAATTTTTCATTTTGTGTTGTGCCATTTTCTTTCTCAGTCTCAAAATCATCTAGCAGTATCAGCATCATATCAAATCCCAATTGTCATAAGAGTGTAAGACTTTTCTTCTGTGCTTCACTTGGCCTACTCCTTCCCCGACACATAAAATATTATGAATCGATGTCTGTATATTTCGGTTAGATCGATTTTGAAATCGATACACAACATTCTAAGAATGTTTCAAAAAGGAAGGTCAGCTACGCCCTTGTCGTCCAGTCGTGACAGTGTCGTCATACTGTGTGTGCGGGTTAGGCTATGTTGAATCTTTTTTTGCTATGGTGCTTAGAAACGTCGGATGCATTTTATTATAGAGGGCGCTACCATCAAAGAATATTTTTTTTCGCTAAACTCTTAAAGTACTTGACCAACTTTGAGAATTCTTTCACCACTAG